GGGAGAAAGGATTAATGAGAGACAGGACATTAGAAATCAATAGAGAATAGGGACCGGGAGAGGGAAAAGGGGGAAACAGAAGAGGAAGATTATTAGAAAATGAGACAGATTTAGAGACCGAAGAAATGATTGCGCTTTCCGGCTCAGCATGATTCTTGAAGATACAACGGAAAAGTGACACTGATAAGATCAGCCAGCTGTCTACAACCTAAAAATAAACACATCTCGTTATCACAGGGATGGAACAACACATGCTTACAAGGAGTGTGATGGATTTTGTTTCTCCCCCCTATCTTTTTTTCGTATCTCAGTCAATTTTCCAGAACAGGAACACTTAATTGCGCATCTTGATACAAGACCTTTAATAATGACGGTCGAAGACTTGACTAGCTGACCTGAGGTGCTTCTGGGACAGGGGCAAAAAGTCGGAAGTACGTATTCGCTGATATAAAAAGAGTTTTTTTTTATAAATTATTGTTATGAGGTCACAACCCCCCCTGTTTTTTTACTCCTTTTGGCAAAGCTACAGTAGAAATTTATCAAATGACAACAGCTGAGACAATAATTTCACCAAGTGAAAAAAAAAGAAAAAAGCTTGTGCAAAGAAAACAGTAGTTGAGTTCAACAACCTGCCAGAACAGGAAACTCAGAGAAGCCCAACAAAGGTGGGATCTATTTAGTCTGTGGAGAGGGAAACGTGCGCTCCGTTACTCTGATAGGGCCGAGTCCGAGGAGGAAAAAAAACGTTCTAAAACTCATTAGAAAAACAAAATGTGCCGTCTGTGTGTGAATGAGTGTGTCAATACCTTAAGTTCCTCCTCCATCTCAGAAATCTTCCTTTCAAGAGCTCTTTTTTCCTGTGTGGGCAGAGAGAAACAGATTACCTCAGAACTTATCCAAGTCACAGAAAATCAGTGGAGCACACTCTTTAGGAGGGAGGAGTGGAAGACGGTGAGGGTGATAGGACAGAAAACACGTCATCACACACATCATGTGAAGCACCTACAAGCAAAAGCCACTTCAGAACTTTATAGTAAGTGATGTTTGCACAATTGAAAGGTAATTGGGGGGGGGGGGGGGACGAGTCAATGAATGGGGATGCAGATGATTAGAGGCCGTTTTGTAGGTCAAGGTAATGAAATGGCTCAATGGGGGATGTCTTTTTTATCCAGAGGGGAATATTTGCAGCCATAAACAGCTGTTGTGACAAGTGATACAGTAACTATAAAAGAAAAATGTGCATAAATCTGACAAATCGACAGGCTAAGATGTCACAGGTGCAGCTAGATACGCCAGCATTAAAACTGAATGAGTGAGGAAGGCATGAAAACACACATGCGTGGCTTCTTTAAGCAGCTTTACGACAACCTAGGCTCATTCAAGTCCCTTTGCAAAACAACATAAAACACACACTCTCAAAACTAAAATCAGCAGTATGGACAGGTTGTGGCTACACGCTGTATCTGAGGTTCAATAAACAGGTGGAAGAAAGAAAAAAAAAAAAGAAAAAAAGGTGGCAGTGTTTCGGGTGGCGTGGAGGGAGGGCGTCCCTTTGGCCTCCAGCTACGACGGCACGAGTGATACGGCAGCCAGCAGCAGAGAGGAAGCCGGTACAGAAACTCATTAGATCATACCACCACTCAGATGATATTGGGGCCTGCTTGTTACCTTTAGACATAAACCCATTGGCAGTGTTACCATGATGTTTAAAGCAGGTCCAACTTTATCAAGACAACTCGCACAAAACCTCTGTCATTAGTACGAGACACGCTTTAGAGACAGAGATCATCTGTTATGCTCAGTGTGCTGTCATTACCCTTTTCTCCATCTCAAGCTGTGATCGGTCAGCATAGCGCTCCTGCCTCTGCAAACACACACATCAAGGAACATAAGAGGCTACAATAATTTTCTGGTGCCTTCGGCTGATTGCGCTCGACGTACCTGCGTGGCCTTCTCTAATTGTAGCTTCAAGTCCGCCAGCTCCAGGTCTGTGTCGCGTAACTGGGCCTTCAGCTTCTCGTTCTCGGCTAAAATCTGCTCGTACAGCTGAGGAGCACCACGCCACAGTCAGCAGATGCACTTGTTTTGGACTTTGTACAAACTCTGATCACGCACGCTGTTGTGCAGTCATTTATTTATTATGTAGATTAATAATAAGAATAATCCTGGGAAATTGTATGAATGATTGACTTTAATTGAAAAGAGAGGATGAAGTAATTGAGTACCTTCTTGTAGTCAGTGGTGTCATCTCTATCCAGTCGGCTTGAGTACGGCCTTCGACTTTCACCATAGCTACGGCTAAAAAGAGTGTCGTTGCGATCTAAAGATGAAGTGCTCTCATTCCTGCAACAGTATAGACAAAAACTCCTTATTACAACCAGATATATTTGAAAAGAATTATAAGGGTTAACATAAGGGAGCACGGAGGGAAACTCACCTTGACAATCTGTCACTCTGTAAAGAGAAAAGAGAAGAATGTAAATAAAATAAATTAAAAAACAGTTTAAACTTTAAATGGTTGAATTGGCTCTAGTCTTTGCTGATACATCAAAGCCTAAATGTTGGAAAAACAAACCACACTAAAAAGAAGGAAGCCCTCAGCTTCTATCCATCCCAAACTACAACAGCCTTCTCCCTCACACAGACAGCCTCCTACACACTGTGCTACATCCACCCACAGTCACCCGCCAGTCGACAGGCTAGCTCGTGCCTCCAGGCCCAGTGTGCTTCCAGGCCTGCAGTGTTTGCGCATAGCAACAACCCTGAGAATGGAGCCAGACATCAGATAGGGAGGTCAGGATGGAGGGTTGGTTTTCCAGCTATTCTAAAAATTTCAGTCTCCTTCCTGAGGGGGCGGTGACACAAGAATGCTAAAATCAGCCATCCAGAAAGAACCTTCAAGGAGTCAGTGGTCAGATACCAAACCAGCTTCTCAGTATTTGATACGCAACTGGTCCTTTTCTTGCTTTGTCCTTTACAACACAATAACACATCATTTACCAATCACGACACATCCGTTTAGTTGCCTAGAAACATGTTTAGGCCCATAAAAATGAGGTGATGGTTTCCTGTATGCTTTTAAATCCAGATAATTGCTTGTTTCCGATATAGTGATTTGCTGCTGGTCCATCGTTTTTGCTGAAACACTGTAATTGACAACTAGCAGCTTGTGTGTCTATACTCAGATAACAACCGCCTGCTCTCTGATAAATTACAAAGGACACTGCCGTCCAAATAGGAAGTCCACCCAGCTGGCAATATTTTTAAAATGCTGCCCACTATGTTGCCTTTTCTGTGAATAATATGAACCCTATGCTTTTTTTAAAGAAAAAAATATATTTCTATTTAAGTGGCTGAAGCTATTATATTATCTGTTTTTTGTAACAGTTGACATGTTTAATAAGCACATTTAAAAAATAAGTAGCAAAAAGTGCCCAAAAAGCTTTTTTTTTTTCTTCTTTGATCTAAATATCCCTTTCAAATGTCAGACAATTTGTGGGATTTCAAAACAAAAAGGCAGACTTCCTTTTGTTTTTCATAGCTTCATATTTTGGAAACATGCCAATTTATGGCTGGGTGCGCATTTGGCGAGGTCACTTTAGCAGCAGACAATCACCGGGAGACGGATATGGGACGACTATAAAAGGATCAAAGGCTGGGGACAGTGCGAGGGAAGGATCCGCAGGAGGAGAGGAAGTCATAGGCGCAGAGGGCAACATGAGATGAAATGAGCGGAAGTACCACAGAGAATAAATTGTGATGAACCTTAGAGAAAAAAGAAAGAATAGACCCAGTTTGATTTTTCTTGACAGGCTGAAAAGTTTCTGTTGAAGTTCGCTGTATCTTGTTCCTGCCCTGCCCGTGTTTGTATGTGTGCATGTGTGTGTGTGTGTGTGTGTGTGTGTGTGTGTGTGCGCGCACGTTGGCTGTGCTACCTGTGGGTCTCCTTTGGTGCTGCCCTCCTCTGAGTCAGACTGCTGGTCAGGGTCATTTTCATCACTCTGGAATTTAAAAACAAAACAAAAAAGGACAAATAAGACACCTTTCTGCCTTAACAATTCAAATCACGACAAGACATCAAGAGATATGAAGCTGTACAAGTGTTTGGAAGTGTTGAGCCTCACAAAGCCTGTGCCAGTGTCTTACATCTTGGGTCCAGAAGGACACGCCGGTGGAGCGCCTCTTCTCGCGGGGCCGCCTGCGATCCCGTATGGAGCGGGGCTGAGACTTATCCTCTCCTTCCTTCTCCTCCTCCTTCTTATCTGTTTCTGTCCGTCAAGAAGAATGTTAAAACATGCATGCATATTGATGTATCAGTACATCTTCCATGTTAACGGACAAAAAACTTGTTCAAAGCCAACTAGTTAGGGTATTTTATAAACCAATTCTGACCCCAACCATTCACCAGAGCCACAAACTATGTAAACCGTTGCATAAGTGGAGATAAACAGTTAGCAAGTACACGAATAACCCCATCCAAATTTGAATTTAGGTGAAACAAGGGATGCACATGACACAATCATGAGCAGGTTGCCCTTGGCAGGGACTCTTTGGACAGAACAAAAGGGTCAGTGTTTTAGCCAAACGGTATAAATCAGCATTCCATTTTCCCAGCGAAACTTCATGGATTTAAGCGTAAATAAAAGAGGTTGTTAATTTAAAAGGTAACCCAATTCCTTTCCGTCTCAATGCTCTTAATAAGAATGTGGCAGTTTGCCCATGTGAATGTGGACTTGAGGCAGGATCAAGGTACACACACACATAAGTTCAGAGACCGAACCATTAGACTCTTGGCTCTGAATTCAATTGTGCGGCCATGTCAGGATCTTTTCCACACTTCAGAGATGCTGACCTTTTTCGGTATCTCTGGAGGAGCGGCTATACGACGAGGTGATCCCCGTCAGACTGTTAGGCCTATTGAGGGAGCTGGAAGATAACGCGGAGCTCGAGTAAGGAGTTGTGGAGGCAGTGCTGACTGTGGAAATGGCGGAGGTCGAAGAGGAAGATGAAGGCCGGTAACGCTGGAGGGGAGAAAGCATACGATGAAAAAAGATATAGAAAGGTAAGAGGGGCAACAGACTCTTACACTAAAGTTGTAAATTTGCAACTATGCAAAATGCTACAACAAAGACCAGGGGCACCTCTTCAAAGCTGCGGTACTTGGATCGGTAATCGTCCTCCTTTGTCTCTGCCTCCTTCCTCTCCTCTTGCTTCTCCTTGTCCTGCTTCTCCTTCTCCTCCTTCTCCTCCTCCCAGGTCTTTGGGGTGCGACTCCTGCCGATTGTTTTCTCGGCCTCTTGCAAGTCAGTCAGAGTCACGCCCTGGAAGGAGAAAGCATTTCTCTCTTTTGAAACCACAAAGTAATGAGACATTTCTTTTGTTTTAAATACTTTTAGGTGTTTCATTTAAAATTCTGAAAACCAGTGACAAGGAGGACAACTACTTTGTGTGGGGGCTAGAAGCAAAGTGCTTAACACAAGAATGCCAATTTTAAGTTCAACTGGCTAAATGTGATAGTTTCAGTCATGCTCAGGAACAGATACTAAATAAATAACTTAAGTGCTTGAACAGACCTGGGTGGACCTCCTGGACTGCCGGGCTTGTCTGGATCGAGCCTTCCTTTGAGACTCCGACTCTTCGTCTCGCACTGGCGTCAGATATGACCTAGCAAAGAGACAAACACACATGCACAACACATGGGTCAACAAACGATCCTAACACAAACACTACGCTGGCATCAATCTGTTCTCATAAGTCCCATCCATGAACCTGATTAAAACAAGTCTAAACACTCATGAATATTATGCGAAGCCCGCTTTTTCCACAGCAGCTTAAGTATACCAAAATTAGTAGCTAAATCTTATTTGATGATGCTGTACATTTAGTAGAAACACACCATGTTTAAACATGGAAAGGAGAATAAATCTGTGAAAAAGCTGATATCAACGGAATAAAAACTTGGAGAACTATTACACTAGGCTACTTTAAAAGATAACACATAAGACTTTTCAAAGTGGATGCAATATTATGAAGTGAAGGGCAGCCAAAGACTATTTCTATTTAAAGGATCACTCGCACATGGATCAGGAGATCTGCTTTAGCAGAAACCCAAAGACACGGGCCGATGCTCCTACAGACAAAGTCAGATGCCTCAATGCAAGCTTGTCTGGGTTAAGAGGGAAAAAATGAGAACTTTTGTAAGCAAATAAACTTATGTTCGAGATAAACTTAAAGTGAGAAGTCATTAGGTTTGATGTTACTTTTGGTCAGACCGAAGCAATGCAGAACACAACTTCCCCTGAAGCAAATTGCAGTGCTTCTGCCCACCTTCCATATTTGGACATGTTGCTGGAGCAGTCCAGGCTCTGAAACAGCCCTGCTCCACCCCCACTGGGACAGGTGGCTTATTTCAACACTGCCACAGGAAGACATACACTCGACCCCACTTAAAGACGCACGTGCATATACATGCTTGCTCCTTATCAGTGTTTGGACAGAACAGTAGATCCTAAACACACACTCCTGTTCTCAAAAAGAAGAAATTCCTTCCGATCATCACTCAACTGACTGCTACCTTTTGCTCGCAAACATGCAAACTCTGCACCAATGTTCAGCTATTTAGGCTAACAAATATTTAAAATGTGACACTGGCGATAGGTGAACCAAGACTGAAAAGCTAATAACACAACAAAATTACATACCGTCCTTATTCAAACATAGCTCAGACAAATAATATGGCTCACAAAACAGCCTATGGACACAAAAGGAGAAGGGTGCGTTCGTTCTGTATGCGAAAGGGTGTGTCTGTTACCTGCGTCGCTCAGAGCCAGTGCTAGTGACGGTGACGGTGCCAGTGGTGGTGGTAGTGGTTGATATGGCGCTGGTGGTAGTGGTAGACGTGGCGGTCGTGGTAGAGCCAGTGTTTATAGTGGGGATTACTGCAGCAGACTCCTTCTCCGCACTCTCCTCTGACCAGAACCTGGTAATAACAGGTCAGTGGAGTAAGCCTGAGTGACCCTAAACTGGGTTTGTCATGAGGATAGGTTACTGGAGCAGGAGGAAATCTAACAAAATGAGGAAACCCTAAACATAATAGGGCAGTCATGAGATATGTCCACCACCACACTGTATTTGAGTGAAATATGGACAGGCTAGCAAAGGGCATTTATGGAATTAATTAAGCTCAATTAGCAAAAGGCTGCCTAGAACCGGTTGGCTGACCTCTGGCTTTTAGATTCTTTGTGTGCGGATTAACGTTTGCACTTCTTTACCCAAAGGGGGAAAACCTGTACCTGCTGGTGAGACCGGTGGAGCCAGTTCGAGTGGAGGAAGAGCCCAGACTGGACAGCAGGCCGCGGTGGCCTGTGGGCGAGGTAACAGATGAGGAGGTGGTGGTGGTCGTGGAGGAGGAGGCTGAGGAACTTAAGTCCTCATGTCTTCTGCCAAAAGAACCGCTGTCGACATAAAAAAAGAAGGGGGGAAAAAGGCACGGGAAAGAGTGGGATGCAAGTCAGACATGTCTAAATACGGTTTTCTGTGTAAGCTGCGCTAACAGACCGGTGACTCAGATCTGTTTTTAACTTATTATTGCTTATCCAAGCAGGCTTATCATTGCTAATGTATATCAACAATAATCTGTTTAATTTAATCTGTAGAATTCCGCTTTTGTTTGGTTAACTCAGTGGTGAACTGAACCGGTGAAACTGGTTTTCCCAACATTTCCAGAAAAGATACTAAATTATTCACTGCACTGCTCTTTGTTCGGAATGCAGGAATTAGATATTCAGCTAGTTTGACTGTATTCTGCCAACTGGCAAAAAAAACAAAACATCAGCAGAACGGCGAGTGTGTCCTGGTCGTGTTGCATTTACTCTGCTCTAAAAACAAACATTTATTTACGTTGAATATTCACAGGCACGATATGCTGGGCCATATAGTCACTTATATAATTTAGAGTGCGATATTTTATCAAGGTAAAAGTACACTGTGAAACAATTAAAATAAAATGTATCCCCCATGAGACTATTTTTTTCCTCAAAGGTTATATAAGCTTTTGATGCATATTGTATGTATTAGCTCTCTCAGCACTGACCCTGAGTAACGTGTGCAAAACTATTTTTGCCAAATGTGAATATTATGATGTAGACTAACAGGTCTGCCATAAATATAAAAAAATTAAATTGTTACCATACAATTGAACATACAATGTACATGTATGTACATAAAATGTATGAAATATCCATAAATCAATCAGATGGATATTAATACAGGTGTCTTTCATTATCAACTTACTCACCACATAAAATTAGGCAAGGGATAAAAATAATAAAACAACTAAAAGCCGTAGAGATGCAGACAGAAAGGACGGGTGGCCGTAGGGACAGTGGCGCCTTAGTGAGGTTGGTGTACCTGCGGTAAATGCTGTAAGACTGGTAGTGGGAGGTGGGTGGCTGCCAGGGTTTAGTATTACAGGTGTTAGGGTCCAAGCTGGAGGTTGACGAAGACTTGGCTGGCACGTCCCGCGTGCTGCCACTCCGCCCTAGCGCTAGCGTATGGGACGTGCTAGCGTGTTGCAGGCAGGTGGGCGAGAGAGGCATGTTAGCGGTGGGAGCGTGCACACACAAACAAATATATAAAGTACAGGGAACACACATATTTCAGACAATCAAGCTTAGACACACTAGTGTTGCATTCACAGCTCAATGGGGAGGAGCCATGGCTTTTTAGAAATAACCTACTCCAGCTGTACTACAATTTAAGTCATGTTTACAAAATGTTGTTGGAAAAAAGAATTTCTGAAGTAGATTCAAGGCTTCAGTAGGCAATGGGGAAAAACTGGGGAACCTGGGGATGTACAAGAAGCAACAGGTTCCCAAGCAGTGTTTCTAATGTGAAAACAGACTGCTTTCATTAGGCTCATGGCCAGAATTTCTCCTATATGATATGAATGCAGAGCAGGTCCGTGTCTTGGCTCTGTGCCATGAATTTGATTTACCCGATTATCATGACAGTATCTCAGCTTGTTAAAACGTCTGAGTGATGCATTTCTCAGTGACACAGCAACCTGACAAGACAGGTACAGTCATGCAAGTGACTCTATAGCAGTGACACGGAGGCACTGGGCTGATTTGCATGGCTTTCTGAAGCTACTGGAAATGGAAGCAAGTACGAACAGATCAAACCAAACGAGTAAAATTTCCCTTTGGTCATTGACAAAATTACTATGAGTGATATCTTAGTAGAGTTTAAATCCAAGCTATGCAAACCAACCATGTAATGGATCCAAACATCTGCTCGGACCGAGCACAGATCTGCTAAGGAGCTGAGGAATATTAACTGGTGAGATTGCTCTGGCAGCTAACCTGCGTTGATAGCTGGACGTTCGATTGGTGGATGCACTTCCTTCACTGTTCTTCAGGTCATCATCCCAGCGTCGTCGGGGGTAAGAGCCACTACGTATCAGAGCAGTAGAGTCCCTGGGGATGTACAAGCTAGAATAGTATCCAATGTGTCCAGTATCACGTGCTGATATTTAAACTCGAAGTGTATATTTTTCTGTTCTATTATAACTCTACATAAAGCACAATAGCACCACATTTGTATTATTGCTAAAGGCAATGCCTGCCATGGAGAGCATCGGGGCCTTTTGCCCGCAACACACAGAAGAGCGAGCGTCTAATGCTAGTGCAAGTCTGCACAGAGCCGCTACTTGGCTCCAGGGGTTCACCTGTTTTCCTTCTCGTCTATGTCTGAAGTACTGGCCAGTCTCCTGGGGATGGTCGGGGCAACATAGGCAAGTCGAGTCCCTCTGTCCTTTTCCTGTGGGGAGCAAAAGGAACCGGTCTCACGTTAGTAACAATTACTGAGGAATGGTCGGGTGTCATTAAAAGATAAAACTACTGTAAAAATGACCCGATGGCCCCTTAGCTTTACCTGATTTACCTGTAGCATTCAGGCTATGCTACATTAATATTACAGTGTTTGTGCATTTCTAATCTGCTGAAGCAAGACAGTCTTAATGTTGTTAGCTATGCATTATCACGCTATTCTGACAGAGCACGCAGCTGAACAAAATGAAAGACAATGAAGAGCATCGTTGCAGACCTTTTCTTTTTCTTTGTTGTCGAGGGAGGAAGAGAGACGTGGGCTTGAGGCTGAGCGCATCACCCCAGTAGTGTCCTTCTCTCTCTGGGCTTCCTTGGTGGCTGTGATTTCTGCCAGTGCTCCATAACTGCCCGTCTTCCTCAAACCTAAACGCCACGATGCCGGAGACTCATCCTTCCTCTCCTCCTCCACTTTAGTTGAGACCCTTCCAGCAGGCTGAACAACCTGAATAGAAGGTGAGGGTAGTCTCTTTGATAACTTGCAATGGTTCCATTTTGAATGAGACCGTGTTAACTGCTTTTTTAAAAATGATTAATCTTGGTAAGTAGCACAACCATCAGTAAGGTCAAACACAAATTTGGATTATTCCATAAGAGCAAAGGTTAAAACCCAGAGGAGACCATTTATGAGAAAGGACATGCCAGCTAAAATATGTACCATCTAGGTTCATAATCTAAGATTACACACCTGCACTCAACTAAGAGCTCCATATTATGTTCCTGAGCGCATGCTACTCTCAAAAGATTAAAACTGTGATAATCCTTGAGAATAATTCCTTCAACCTGTGTGGGCTTCGAGGCCCAGACCATGTCTGACCAGAGATACATTTTGAAGAACAGTCAGAAGAGGAAAAGCAACTGTACACACAGATGTCACAAAGACACATTATGAAAACAAAATTAGCTGTGCACTTGTCGATCACACGTAAAAACAGCGCCATGTAATGTTGATGAGTGATGGAGAGGTTCAATCACCGATGTCGGATTTTTCCACTCGGGTGGTCATTTGCGCTGTGCTGCATAAAACTAGAAGTAATTGAATTGTGTTTTTCCAGAACAATCAGTTCATCTTCCTTTAATCTATTCACAGGAGAAGCATACATCCGATTCACGGAATACGGATGTTCAATCAACCTCAATGGAAACTGTTAGCAAACAGCAACATAAGTCTGGCAGACACAGCTAATGTATTCATAAAAGGAGGATGCCAACTGTAGTAGGTTTAAGGCAACAGCTGAATTCCCCTGCAGAAGGGCTGCCAAGTGGAAAAACCCAGCATCACCTGGATCAGGAAAGGGTGGGTGGGGGTGATTTTAGTGCTTTGTCAGTGCACAAGTGCAAGAGGGATGAGAGAAAAACTCTGGTGCACACCAATGCCTCACCATGGGTTTTTTGGGCACAAGAGAAATGCCAGTTTTGCGCAAACCTTGACGCCACAATGCAGGACAGCCTGGCTCCGCCACAGGCATGAGAGGAGTAATATATTCAAACTAAAGCCAACCAAGACAAGAGCCCAGGATGACAAAGATGCAAAGAGGGAGGTTGGGCAGGGAAGAAGACAGAGAGGTTGAAACAGAAAAAGGCAGAATAAGACAAAAGCAGCAGCAAAAGAAAAAAAACACTTATTGGGTAAGGACAGGCCTTTCAAAGCCTAGTCACACCACACGCTGCCAAACTAGGGACACTGTCATTATTTTTTAATTGAGTTTAGTGACAAATCCAATAGGACATTTTGAATATTGGGTCCATTTTTATTACAAGTCACTGTGGTGTGTCAGGACCAGGCTTTAAATATAGTTTATTGCAAGAAAAGAAGCAGAAAAAAAAACAGACAGCTGGAGGATGCAATTTAATCATCAAAATTTAGGATGGCTGGAAAACCTTATATCTAAGGTTTAAAATCCTATTGAAAGATTTAAAAATACATAAAGATGGTGTCTGGATTAAGCCTGAATTCTTATTTAAAACACTACCTTCTGCAAAGAGTTTGAAAAGATTTCCAGGAGATTCTATTAGTCACACATGAGGTCACATTGGCTACTATTTTCAGCAAGTGGAAGGAGAGAAGACGGCATGCTCTTGGAGAAATTTGCCATGCTCATTGTGGTTAAATTCATTTGTGCCAGCAGAGGGCAGCAGAGCCAAAAGTGGGACAATGCTAACACCTTCATCAGCCACCACATATCCAGCTTTACAAACTTCACCTTCCCAGTATCAAAGCAGGCTTAGTACACATTAACAACACCCAGAATTGACCACCAATCATCCAAACTAGTAAGGCCAGTGGCATGTTTGTTAAACACCACTGACGCTTAGTTTTAACTCATTCTTAAGGCCTCTGTGACATCTGTTAAGGGGCACCATTAAGAGCAACTCAAAACTGAGAACTACATGTGTGATGGTCTTGAATAGGAACTCTATTCAAGACATCATTTTTGCTATTCTAGCAAAAATGATCTTCATTTGACTATAAATTAAGATTGATTTTATGGGGAGGAGTGTGGTTGGCGAGAGGTGCAAATCAGAAGTTCTGAAACGCTTTTGCAAAGCTTGAGACAAATTTACACTGGTTTGTACCTCTCGGCCACAGAAGAAAAGCAGGTAAAAAATTTTTACTGATTTGTCCGATGAGCCAAAAATCATGTCTAAGTGTCATGTCTTCGAGTAGGAAAGGAGAAGCAGTCACCACTAAGAGAAGTAAAATAATGATATCAATACGTCACGGCTGTGTAGCAGCAGTCAGCTCTATCAGATGACTACATGAATCCAACATGTAAGAGTGAACTCTTAGACAAAAAGTCAGTTTATAGAAAAGTAATTTAAGGGGTACAGCATGGCGGAGCATCTCCACGGTCCGTACCTTTTTAATGGGAGAAGTGGGAGTCGTCACCTGGTTCGTTGGGCTAGTTGGAGAAGACACGCTGACGCTGGCTGGAGTGGGCGTTGTGTTGCTTACCGCTGCTGAGGGTTTGCTCTTGTCTGATGATAACAGAAAAAAGGTTTTAGAGTTATAAAGCTTAAACGTTGCTGTGTATAATTATCTAACAGCAAGCCAGACATAAAGTAATCAAGCCACGGTTCTAGGGTTCTGCTCCCCAGTTTGCCTCTTTCTGGCCATGTTGTTGTATTTGCAAAAAAGGTAGACACAGTACCTCCTTCAGTCTCAGACTCTGAATCTTCTTCCTCCTCCTCTTCACTGGAGCAGCTCGATTCGTCCTTCTTCCCCTCATCCTCTTCATCCACTTTCTCGGGTTCTAAGGTTTCGATGCGTGGCGCGCTCTTCTCTGGCTCCAGGAGCAGCGTTTCTTTGCTGAAAAAAATCAAATGCGAGGTCTTTGCTGCAGCGTGCTGGATAACAAGGTAAAAATAACTCATGTTTTTTGCCTAAACTATTTACCTCTTGAGTGACTTCAGTGATTGGTTGTTGTCCCCTGTGGTGGTTGTTTCAATCAAAGGTGATTTCTTAACATCTTTCTTCTCGCTCATCAGCTGGAAGAAAGAAAACAGCAGGAGAATTAGGATCCTGGGCAGATGATGAAATCAGATCTTCTCAAGAATCCGTCCAAATTAATTAAGTTGCCCAAAGCACATACAATGGATTTTCCAATCAGTGCTCACACTGACTCACCAGATTTTGTTTCTTTTGTAGTTCTTCCAAGTATCCCAGAACATCTTCATCTGATACATCAAAAGCAGTCTGGCCCTGAGGGGAAGGGGGAAAAAAAAAAAAAAAAAGTTATGGACTGCCGGGGCTCACCGACATATTTCCTCATAACTTCAGTGGCTCACCATCTTATTAATGAGGTCCATGTCACATAGATTTTCCACCAGTATCCTACATGCTTCTTCTTTCCCCCAGTGTGCTGCCGCATGTAGAGGAGTCCAGCCATCATAGTCTTTAATATTTACATCATACCCTGCCTGGATTAAAAGCCTGCACAATGAGGGATTTAGGAGAAATGGAAAGGAGAGAAGAAAAAAAGAAAAGAAAAGCAAAAATAGTTTTGTGTGAATTAGCAAATGCAGTTCCCGGACTGGATTCAGTCAACTAATCTTTTAAGGTGCTGCCAGGGTCCAAGCTTTAAGAATTGCGTCAGCACTGTGTCCCCAGGTCAGATTTTTTTTTTTTTTTAAGAAAGAAAAAAAAGTCCACCCAGAGATATTACAGAGAGATAATCCAAAGGTCTGAGTCATCCTTTAATTTAACATAGCTGGATGTCAAAATCTTTATCCATCAGACACCCGGCTTCTGTTATGGTATCACATTAAACTTCTCATTTTGTGTACAGTAGTTGTGCAAAACCCCGTAGATCTTAGAGGACTCTGGCAGCAGAGTGTGCTGGCTGGCTTCCTAGCTTCCTTCATGTGGGATCAGTGCAACTATTAAAAATCCACAGGGACAGTGTTGAAAAAAAACAAAACCAGATGACAAGACGCAGAGACCAACATATATTAAGTATTTAACGTACAAGACAGGCTTTATGTCACAACAGGCCGTAAATGTATTGGTCATAGCTCATGTTGCAGCTATTCTTCACTGTGTAAACTACTAGTAAAATAAGCCCGCTGCTTACTTTAAAACCTCCACGTATCCTTTTGCAGCAGCTACATGGAGTGCCGTTCCGCCAGATTTTGCATGCCGGGTGTCTTGGATCTGGCCGCTATTGAGCCATTGCCGGGCATCCCTCAGCATGATCCGCTCCTCCTCTTTTCGGGCTGCCTCGATATCTAGCCCTGGAGAGAAAGGGAAGACTTGCAATGTAATAGCTGCCAGCTGGCACACTGGAGCCATGGTAAAAGAAGCACAATCATAACCACTTATCTATTCATCTTGCATATTTTTAGGTATACTGGGTAGTCTCCCAAGTTTACAGAAGACAGAAAGTCAAATATCCAAATCCATAGATGCATAACATTACCTCGTAAACCAGACTTTGGTATTACTTGTTTTCCAAGGTTCTATTGGAATTAACTAATATGCTTACCATTATCACGGCACCATCTTTAAATACATGGGTGTTGTCAAGTAATTGTTTTCTTTAAGGGAGGTGTTTCGTGCCAATATTCTTAGAATTTAGCAATACAATAGTGGCTGTAAACTGCACTGCTCAGCTGCTTAAGTGGGTCAGTATGTCAGCGCTATATGATGCATGCAGGTCAACAGTAAAGCTAGCCCGTTTTGTCTTGTTGACACCTGGTTGGTACACATCATTTTCTAAAAACTTTCAGCATCACAACTCTTTGACCAAACTGGCATGAAATAGAGAGGGTCTAGAGATTGAGAGTTTCAATCTATGTATTAAACTGGACATCTAAAGCGCTTGTTGGGCTAAATGTCTTCAATTTTTCCTGTCTATACATTCACAATTTTAAAACTAATCTGTCCAATAAATACCAATTAAGTTATGATCATGTCTTAAACTCAGCAGCAAGTTTAAGACATAATCATCTGTGAAAATATACAGTTGCTTCTGCTCAGAGATGCAGTAATGCCTTCCACAAACCTGCCAAATATCATAATTAATGTATTCTTTAAAAAAAAAAACATGTTACAAAAGAAGCATATCAAACAAGTCAGAAAAAGAAAAAAAAGAGAGAGTTAAACATACAGCATTATATAGGTAAAGAGTAATTTTAAAATCTATTAGAGCGGCCTCGTCATTGTAGGGAAAATAGGGTTGGCCAGGTAGAGGAAGAATCCCATGATCACCTACACTATCTATAAAATGCCAGGAATCTGATGGCCTCTAAGTAGCCCACAGAATGAGAGCAACGTGGGAAGAGCTGGCAGCAGTTTAAAAAAGGATATGTGCATACACAAAGACAGACATACATAGATTAGATAAATAAACACATTTCATGCATATAAGCAAAGGTCTATACTGACACAAAGTCCTAAGAGATCGAGCTAGTATATTGGGTTATTTTAGGCCTCAAAGAAAGCTGCTGCCAGGTCAATTCAAATGACTCTCCTCTCAACAGCCCCTAACTAACACCTACAAAAAGAAAGGTAAAACCACTCTGTGCAGCAGTCCACTTTCACTCCAGTGAGAGGACAGAAACAGCTTTTATGCAATGACTGTCAGAGAAGACCAGTCATTTGACAGAATCAGAATTGAGAACAGGATCTCAAACCTGTCCTTGCTAATGGAAAACTGTGGACACTCGCTAACAAGTTTAACTCCATAACTGGTATGTCTTTGAGAGAAGAGAATGAAATCACAAATATACAGAAGTGTTACACAACAGCCAGTTGCATAATGCTGCCTGCTAGCTTTAGCATAAAGAAGCCAGCAATGGATTGTCTGCAGCAGCCTGAGGACAGGGTGACTACTAATTCGCTCAGCAGTGGAGCAGATTTTTAAGTTTTAAAATTCTGTATCAATAATTAAAAGCCATGGGGACCAACCTGGTAATCTGGCTGCCTGAAGTCTGCGAACATTGGTAATGTGAGGTCACGTTAGCTTTTAACAACAGTCGGTGATGGATGTTAGAGGAGGCGGTGTGAGGATGAACCAGGCAGAGCATCTATCAGGGATCACCTAATCAAAGCTGACAGCAGCCGCTGGTCGACATGCCTGAGGTTTGGGTGGGTGCAATCCTCACCACCATTACATAATAACAGCAAAGGAGCGTGACGTGCAAAAACACTCTTGATGTAATTATGACTGGATTCCATATGCTCTTAAACACTTGGACCTTGATCTAAAAGTTAAGAGATAGACAGTTAAGAGGCTGACTTTTGTCATCTTACGATTGCTTTAGGTATGATGGTCTAACTGTTACACCACCCACACGCACATGTAATTACACAAAGCCTTTGCAGTTGAAATCATCATTACAAAGGGACCGTCAGGTTTTATACTCTTGCCAAAGGAAGTTGAGCAGCCTGATAAAGGCAACACAAAACATGCTTCAAAGAAGGCCAATCCATGCAACGTTTATAAGAAACTATGAGCAGAGGAGCACCACTCCGGCCTGAGGCCAGCTAACACGTCTGAGCATGGCCTCTTGCCATAAGGGAGGGCCTATCATCAAGAATGCCCCAGCCAAAAATAGTAAGGCCCAGGAGTTTTACTTTAGAATCATCACATGATAGCTGACAACACAGCTGGATCACTATTCTGTATTATGTAAGGCTTTATCATGCAAGCGAAAAACAGAATGTGACAGACACACCATGAGGAATTCACCTTCTACTTCAGAACGTACCAATATGTGCAAGAAAACACAAACTGGGCCCCTTCCAGTTATGTCACCTTCAACAGGCCATCAAGGTTGAACATGATTGATTCTGATCATCACATAATTCATCTGGATTGAGATTAATTCAGAGTATGCCCTCGACAAGCCAAAGCTCCGCCACAAAATGATCTAACGACCCATAACAAGCTGTCATTATTAATCATTTATCTTTTTAAAAACTCTCCTTGAACAGATTTTTGTTACGTATAGTAATCATAAATTAACTTTTTTTGTCGCTTTTTAAAGCAAATTCTGACACATGGAAGGGTGTAGTGTGTAGCTCTGGGTGTACCTTGTCGGTTGATCTCATTTTGCAAAAGCTCCTCCATGGCCTCCTCTTCGGCAATGTCCAGCGGCGTCTCGCCCTCACTGTTCACAACACCGACGTTGGCTCCCTGGCTGATGAGATACCTAAAATATACAAAATACAATAATAGGTGTCAGCAAATATTTGTATAACCGTGTTTATAAAAATGCCTGGGGAAAAAGTATGTCGTGGCAAATATCCAGTAAATTCCTGCCCATGCGGGGTTGTGTTCCTGTTAAACTTCAACTGAAAATTCCTCAAAACAGATGAAGAAATTGTTGACAGAAAGGAGCTGTTTAACATAGTAGTGTAATACAACTTCATTGTGTTCCTCAGGCTAATCCTGAATGCGTCACAACAATGGCGCCCCTGAAATCTGACAGAAAATTGAACATTCACAATATATATTGAGACTTTCAGCAAATATCTTGACTTTCACAGAAGATTCAGTCTAAATTGAATAAATGTGGTTTGAATAGGTCATGTGCATTACTTGCCCCAAGCTCGTTAAGAACCAACAAAAAATTCAAAAGACAACAACAAAACACATTTGTTAAAAATGAGAATTTTTTACTGCATTTGTGGCCATTTAGTGACTTAACGCTTTTTTTGTCTCCCTTTGTATTGACTGAACATTTGAACCATTCAGCATGTTGAGTTCAGCTGTTTCCAATTAAAGTTGTGGTGAGACTCAGGCTCTTCTCATTAGACCAACTAACTACTTGAAACACACTTAGTGCTTATGACTTCCACCCAAATGGCAACTGACTGACTACAATTACATCTCAATGTTTTGTATCTTTTTGATTGGACTTTCTACTCTGTCTATTTTAAAGTGGCTGAACTAGGTTTGATAGCTTTGTGGTCCGCAGTCCCACTGTGGGCTTCTTCCCCAACCCTGCAATTACACAGCTGTTGTGACACCAGGGGCAAAAAGATACAGCCCTGCTTGGCAATTCCTGCTATTGTGAGTATGCTGGGATTTAAATGGGTCGACTGTACAACTCCACGCCTACATCAGATCGCGGGTTTCTCACTATGACATGTTGTCTCCATTAGTCACCCATATTAGTGCAGCCACTTGACCTTTTGACTCAAAATGCCACGGCATAAGACTTCTTGTTTTCAGTTTAAGTCGCCTTGTACTCTGGCAGTATTGAGCCCACTCAGATATACCAATACATTCATTGAAAAAGACAAAAAAAATGTTTTTAATCATGTTTGCTTTCTCCTCTTGCTGGTTACATTTCTTGGGAAAAACTGTAAAAAGAAAAAGTAAATCTCAGGCCAGGTAACTGAAATTTAACACACAAATAAAAGAGGTCACAGCACACTTAACATGTTGAACAATGGGTAGACCTGAGCTCCTTTAGCCCTCTCAGCCCGTATAAATATCCTGATAACATCTCTGGTGTGATTAGACTCTATAGCCATATTCTTACCAGACAAAGGAAAAAAGAAACACAAAAAAAAGGAATATACAAATGATGCGATATTCTGATCTCTACATACCATTATGCACTCATACTGTATGTCTGAGCCTTCACAGACAAAATTAGCCAGAATACATTTTCTTCGTACCATATTAAGCAGGATAAGACAAACATTAGGCACTCTGAGCTAGCAATAATCCCAGCAGTAGCACAGAGAGTTCCCTGATGGTGTGCGTGAATGGGCAGAGGTCAGTGAAGGCGGCAAATTCATTTGCTACTGCAGTCAAACAGCCTAAAACAAGAAAAATATTTCCTCAAAACGTTTTGAACTGGATAACATAACCTCATGCAGTAAGGAAAAAATGTAATTAAATACAAATGCTATACAAAGAACAATCAGGCGTTATACAAAGCCGAATTGCAATATGTAGGTAAACGACACAGGTTCCTCATTGCAAAAATACATTAAGTGATTGGACGGACAACAAACGGCACATCTTGTGTTTTTCGGTTGTTCAATCCAACCAGATAAAAACTATACTTACAGTGGTAAAATTAAAAATGAGAAAAAAGAAACCAGGTAGATTACTGGCCAAACATATAACATGTATTTTGTTAACAGTGTTTTGGGTATTAGGTTGAGTGAACACTTAGACGAAGACATAGTTAAAACAAAACAGGATGTAAGGGTGAGTTTGTTAAGAAAAGAAATCTGATGAAACTGATACAAATTTGTAGAAAGAGGAACATGAAAAAAAAGGGGGGGCGGGGGGGTCAAAAACGCTTAAAAACACTTACTCGGCTATGTCTAGGTATCCGCAGGAAGCTGCAGCGTGGAGGGGGATCCAGCCCTCATTGTCGGGCTGGTTGACACTTGCTCCATGCTCCACCAGGAAAGTCACCATGTCAACATTGTCATCTATACATGCCTGAAAGAGAATAGACAGAGGAGAGACAAGAGTATGAACACAAAGGGTCCTCTGTGTCTATGATCAGCCATCGCAAGGAAGTGTGCATGCACACATGCATGCCATCGTATGTCAATAGGACAGAACATCGCAGTCTGCCTGATGCATCGCTTTGGGTGTCCTTTACTGTTTAAGACAGCTGGAGCATTCCCAAAATGCCTTCACATTGCCGGGCTGCTTTAAATACCGTTCAGTGCAGTACTGCTGAAAGGGTCATCGGAGGGCTATGTTTACATGGTTTATGCCACAGCTAGTAGTATTTAAAGAAGATTCACCAAAACTTTGCTGATCATTTCCTTCATAGTGGCATCACTGGCATGTCACTATTATTCCATCATCTGATTACAATTATTTCAGCAGCCTGCTTGAATTTTGTTATGCCAATAAACAAACAATATATTTATATATTTTCTCTGTCTGACCTCCTAGATCAATTTTTGCCTCAAAGACAAAGAAGATATACATTTTTATTCATATACTTTGACTTTTAATGTAAAACATCCCCTATATACTTTTTGCATAGTTATAAAGCTCTCACAGTGGGAAAAGTTTCTTTTGGGGTTTTTTCCATTCGTTGGTGCATATCCTCCATCCATCCATCCATCCATTACCGTTACCGCTTATTCCCAGTGGTCAATGTGCGAGAGGCGAGGTGTATATCAGTAAAAATAATTTAGTTTCAACATGAAAAACAAATTTTGGTGTGTAATCAAAATAATTGACAGATATCGTCAATCTTTTAATATGAAATGACAATAGTTAATGGGTTCAGCACCACAATTTAACTATGTGACTGAATGAGAAAGGCATCGGCAACACAGGTAAGTAGCATGGATTGAAGGCATTTAGTTTTTCAGGTGGGGGAAAGGCAATAAATACATACCTAAATTAATTATTTAAATTTACTAATGATTGAAAATTTTTGGCCTTAACATCTTAAACCTAAAAGTGAACACAGAGCTTAAACTTTCTTTCTCTCTCTTCAGGGGTTGCTATGACAACAAAAGCGTCGACAGGGGAAACAGATACACATGAACACACGGCGGCCTCCTGTTCAGGGCACACGACTATCTGGCTGGAATCCTTGTCCAAATTTGGGCCGTTTACAGCACCAGAGCTGGAGAGTGCCTGCAAAAGCCTGAGTGAACTTATCTGACAGGAGATGTGTATTTATATACGATATGGTTTGTTGTTATATGTGGGTGCTCATGCACTTTGACAAAAGCTTCTTCTGAAGTTGCAGATTGACTTTTCGACAAGTTAGGTCTGTCACTTTGTTAGGAGCTATCAAACACAAGTGGAAAGTCCCCATTATTGGTGCGTTAACCTAATGTGGCTAACCGTGGAGCTTGGAATTCGCGGTAATGTAAACAGTTTGGTGCTTACTATTGTCAACAAACTTAATCGCTCACTTTCAATTCAAGTATCATTAAAATGCAAGTTTAAGTTGTTGTCTTTAAAGTGCACATTTGAAGGTACTGAAAACGACAAAAAGAAAAGTTTGTACTTTCAGTATTCATCTAAACAAATGTGTTGCTTTTTTTTTTTTTTAAATAGTTATAGTAAGTCATTGTCCATGCCCATTTTTTTTTGCTGTTCCTCTGTTGTTTTTTTTAGTTCATATAACAGACAAAAAGTGGACCATGGAGACAGATTCTAACTGGGAGGAACATCAGAACAGTACGTTATCGTCTTTCTGCAAGTTAATGCTACACCATCTCACCACTACATGCGTTTGTATATTCACAGCTGGACGGCCATGAGCTGAGGTCCTTGCTTTGTGTTTTGAGTATCATCATAATCATCATCTCAGAGCTGCTCGGCGTGTCAAGACCTTTTTAAAACTGTGGGACAGCTTCTGCCTTGTCTGAAATGCTGAATTCTGAATCCTCCCCCTCAGTCATTCCCCACACTTATCTCGTCAACATCTTTCCATTGTCTAATAATGGAAACGAGTCCTTTAAAAGTCAGTGATGCTGGTGACCGCCCTCTCCGATACATCACGAGTAATCCCTCTGCTGACTCCTCCCAGTGGCTACTGGAGCACAACAGAAGTAATCCCCTAATAGCTGTAATTTTCTGTGGTTGACAGGTGCCAGAGTAACAGCCTGCCTCAACAGTGTGCTTACTATACATGCCCGTGGGACAGAATAGGAAAGACTATGTGCCAATGGCATCCCCAGTATGTCTCGAACATCACAATATTTAAAGACCTCTCTGTGTACCACTGTTAAGGAGGGGGGCAGAAAAAAGCAGAAAAAAGCCTTTTGCATAAGTCCCTGTAGCGCAAATGGCCTGAAGATGACAAAATATTTCTAAAACGATTAACTGCAGTTAAATTTGGAAACATTGTGGGCTTGGTCCTGTGTCAAACATATTAGAAGTCTGCTGTGCCCACAGAGAAGCATTCAGCTATGATGTCACTGACACCCAAACAAATATCTCATCACTTAAACCCATCTGGCTGGGGTTCCTAAGAGGAGGGGAGAGGTAGCATGTCAAAAATAAAGTCACTGAAAGGGACTGATGTTTGTCAACAAAAATCAAACACCTTAAGACATATCTATCTTTTGAAAGCATTTAACTTTTGGAAAGCAATTTCTGGTATACAAAAGGAATAAAAAATAAATAAATTCAATATGATGGAGAGGACTATGACATAAAATGAACCAGATTTCTTGTTCTCCTTACACAAGAAGGTCATATGTTTTGCATGATATCATGATTTGACTTTTCCTTGGCATCATTGCTTAAAAGGTTATGAAAGATTATAGTTTTTAAACCCATAGGGAGCTATGGCTTATCTAAGAAATGTTAACAGTTTTGTTTCCCAAGAGTTATTAGCTGTAATGCTGCCGGATTGCTTCGAACTGCACTGAACATGTGTGATTTCAGTTTATCCTGAGTCGAACAAAGAAATGCACATTCTTAAAATTTGTGAAAGCAGTACCTGGCTGAGCATCAAGCAGGCACGGCACACTAAATATTACCTCATGGATGCCGTCAGTTTGTGAGATAAAAACCACCAGTTGCTGCGTGTTTAGATAAAAACTTCCACTGAAGTGGAGGACGACATTTCTCAGAAGCTGATGTAACAGCAAATAAATAAATAACAACAACAAACACGGCACACTAATCGATGGAAACAGGATGCTCCATTTGACTGGTCGATACAGTTTAACATGCACTATGTGGCCATCTTCTGAAAACAGTTCCGTTAACCCATTAAGCACTGCAGTATGTGGTTAGCAATGCAGCAAGAAAATAGAGTGAAAATCACTAATCTCTAATTGGAAATTAATTCTGGCTGAAAAACCAAAAAGGCCATCAATGAGAAGGTCACTGATGGAAATTCAATCTACTGAAAATGGGGCAACTCCAGCAATATTCTTTAAGGTAAAAAAAAAAAAAAAAAAGCACTCAAACTGTTTCTCCATTTAATTTTGTCCTGTGAAGTACCCATAGGTTACATTAAATGTATATTACTTTCATTAAAGCTGAAACATTTTTATAAAAATTATAATCCCTCCAACAAAAACATGCCAAGTTACACAAAGCTATAAATCAACCACTTTACCTGCTCATAGGTTAAGTGCAGCCATGTGGGGCTGATTTAAAGAGAAGTCATGAGATTAACACGGAACTTTTCCACACCAGAAACGATAAGCACGGTGGAGGGGGGGGGGGGAATCAGGACACAGACAACAATACAGTGCGCAACGTATGCAGCAGCACAATCCCAAAAATAATAGGGAAGAATTTGCTGCTAGTGTTACTGAGAAACTGGACTTGGCAATTCTCAGATTGGACCCTCATGACGTGCATCAAAAGGAAAAAGGCCTGGTCTGTTACCACAACAACAAAGCTGAAAAGAGAGTATGAGTTCAGGCCTTGCTGGGCTTTTGTAGGAAACATAAATAAATAGCGAAGTCTTCATTTCAAATCACACTGGGGTTCCTTGAACACAACAGACAGAATGCATTAGACTTGAAGCAAATCATGATGACAATCTAAAAAAACAAGTTTGAAAACTCCAACAAACCTAACCTGACGGGAGTATCTTATATATTTCGGAGCCATTCTGCAACACCAAAAGCTTCTATAGGTTTATTATCAGTGCGGCATCGTGATGAGCGCTCAAGGCTTAATTTAGCAGCACTCAACATCAAGGAGACACTCGGAGACCCCTCCCCTCCTTGACTTCCTTTAGTGGACCCTCAGATGGCCGACTGAAGCCAGCTACAGAGCTGCAGTTGTGGCTTCTGTACAATTTATCAAAGAGAGGGAAGGAACCGGTGTCACGTGGTTCCTGCCCACTGCTATTCGACTTTAGATAGATAGACATGATGATTATCACTGACCTCGCAACTTAATTTTATTCTTTACATATTTCGTTACAAATGAGGCCAGAAATATTCAAAATGTAACATGAGCTTTATTTAACCTTTGGCTTCCCAGTTCTAGTCAGCACATCCTTGAGTCGTGGTCAATTTGAATAGCTAGATGTAATCGAATGTAGTTCTGAGACTGCCAGTGGCTGCTATTGCTACGACTAAGATAGGTGGAGGGACGGACAGGATGATAGGTTTGAACTGTTTTGAAATCTATCTGCAGCAGTTACCAGTTAACACCAGCGAGGACATCTTTAAAACCAAATCTCCACCATGGAAACAGTAGTACATCATGATCAAAAATGTGTGTAGGTAACAGAGTCAGGAAGGGTTGGGTGAGATTTAAAACTGAATCTGCATTACATTCTGCACAATTTAGCTTTTATTTTGCACAAAGACTTCTTACCAATTTCATAATACCTGGTACAGTCCTTCTGGAATTGTTACTTATTGCAGTTGACTTACACTTAAGTGCAGAGTAATCCAAGTTCTGTTCCTGTTTCAATAGCCATTGACTTAAAGACCCAAGCCGTATCTACTGCAACCCAAAATATTACAAGATCACCTACT